TGATGCCTAAAAAATTAAAACAAAGATAAGTTGTTATAGAGGTAAAAAAAACCCCACCTATTTATAAATTATCTGGTATTGTTTTATGGTTTTATATACATTATTCTAAGAGAATATTCAGAGGTACTGATGTTTTCTCTCTCGGTCCCAGAGACGTTAGCATACACAATGTCACACAGCTAGAGAGCAGTTAGCATGCAGTAGCCTTTGGGTCCACAGGCAATTGAGATGACTGAGCTATCTCTCCAGCTGTAAATCTGGGCTTTGTAATGGAAAGGGCAGTTCTGTTGTGACTAGAAAGAAGTGGCAAGGGCTTGGAACACAGTTCAGTTGGTGTGCAATGCACAAGGTGCTTGCCTAGCATCCAGAGAGTCCTAAATTCGAACCCCAGCACAGCACACATGGAATACATGTCTGTAATCCCGGAACCTGGGAAGCAGAGGCAGGAGGATCACAAGTTTAAGGTCATTTTCTGCTACATAGCAAGTTTGAAGTCAGGCATATATATATAAAACACTGTCTTAAAAAAAAAAAAAAAAAAAAAAAATAAAAAATAAAAAAATAAAAGAAAAGAAATAAGAATAAAGTAAAATAAATTGTAAAATAACTCTTATCATTAATAGCTACTTACAACAACAACAACAACAAAACCTTTCTGCCCTCATCTCTTACCAGTATGTTGGGGGTTTTGGTTTTGTTGAAACAGGGTCTTGCTATTAATCTTGGCTAGTCTTGAAGTAATCCTCCTGCCTCTGCTTCCTGGGTGCTATCACAACTGGCTCCAGTATGCACTCTCAGATGATACATGAATTATATATGATCCTAAAATATTCCTGAGGTAGCTCAGAAGTCAAAAGCCTTTGTCGCATCCTGAGGCCCATCATTCTGTGCTGAGTAGCATGCTTATCTCGCAGGCCTGCAATTTGCTTGATACTACACTTCCATCCTGAATCTATCACAAACTCATGGGTGAGCTTTAAAACAACAGTCCTCCACCAGACCCAGTGTTGCAGGACTGTAATCTCAGTTACTTGAGACACCAAGGCAGCAGGATCATGTACTCCAGGCTTGCCTAGACCTTGAGTGAGTTCAATGTGAGCCTGGATAACCTGGTGAAACTCTGTCTCAAAAACAGAAAGGGGACTGGAGAGGCTCACAAGTTTAAAGCAGAGAACCTGGGTTCAGTCCTCAGCGCCCACAGGGTGATTCACAACCACCCAGAACTGTAGTTACTCATGTCTTCCTCTGATCTCTGCATGCACCTGCGCACACAGTGCACATGCATACAAACAGGCAAAACATTCATAGACAGAAAACAAAACAATTTTTCCTGAGTGCTGGAATTTAAGGTATGTGCCACCACTGCCCAGGGTTGAAACATTTCCTTAATTGAGGTTCCCTCCTCTTGGAAGACTTTAGCTTATGTCAAGTTGACATAAAACTGCAGCATAGCCTCTAAAATCATAATTTTTCCTTTGGAATTTGTTAAAGTTTTTTTTAGTCGGTTGGTTTTAGTTTTGGTCTCATGTAGTTCAGGCTAGCCTTATACTCTTGATCTTTCTGCCTTTACCACCAAACTGCTGGGATTACAGGGATATGCAAAATGACTAGTCTTTCGTGTTGTTGTTTTTACCTTTTAAAGATAGTGAGAAAAAATTATGTGATTAGAATGTATCAACATTAATTAACATTATTATTAGTAAAAAAGTTTTAATAGCAGTAGCATTAATAGAAAATCATGCAAAAATCAGAATTTTTTCTTTTCCCTTTTAATTAAAAAAAATTATGTGTGTTTTGCTGCATATACGTCTGTTCACCGTGTACACGCCTGATTCCTAGAGAGGCTGGGAGAGGGTGTCAGATCCCCTGGAACAGGAGTCACAAACAGTTGCTAAGTTGTCATGTAATTTTTGGGAATCAAACCTGGGTCCTCTAGAAGAACGGCCAGGGGTCTTAACCACCGAGCCACCTCTCCAGTCCCTAAGCCCAGGCTGGTCTTGAATTCACGATTCTCTTGCCTCTGCCTCTTCAACATATCCTACTGGCATTGCTACCACAACTGGCTTTTAGCTATACAGAGACTCAGAGATCCATCCACAGGCCTCTCTGCCTCTGCTACCATTCAGATAAAATAAAAGCCTAAGCACTAAAGTCTGTAGTTATCATACAAGACCTATAATTGAAACTTTCATTAATTCATAGTTCATTTTATTTAATTCCTTAATAACAGTAATCTATAACTTTCACTATTGAATCTGCAGACAGCTGCAGTCTGTTTACAGATTCCTGGTATAAATCAGTTATTAATCTACAGAGCAGAGCTATAACACTTCCTAGGGTGTTATTACTATGTCAAAATTGCCAATACTAGAAACAAAGAAAAATGTGCAATAAAAGCTGACTTCAACTTAATCAGTAATGGCTACTGACAATCAGCTGTGAAGTGTTCTTTGCTTGTGGTCATTTTCTTTACTAACAGCACATATGTGCTGTAGGAATTCCTATAGCCAGCAGCCTTTAAGTTACCCACCCACTTGGGCAGGGCCTCAAATACTATATATATATATGCTGATGTAAAGTGTGCGTCCACTCTCTCTTCTGTGGCATTTTGGTGGCTGTTCCCTGTTCGAGCAGGGCTTTGTGATCTGTGAGTCGACCCCTAAATAAATAACCCTCTATTATAGTCAATTCTGAGCTAGTGTGGGGTTTCTTTCAAGCGTCCTTCAACCATGCATTTATTTTACTATTCTACTTACTAAACGTGGGCTAAGCTTTAGTGGAGGACCACTTCCTTAGCCTGCACTGGGCTGTATCCCAAGCACAGATAACAAAGTCCCCAACGCTAAGTTGCATGTGAATTATTGATTTTGGTACCTACTAGACCATAAATTCCTTGACAAGAAATCTATTTCCCTTTTCTGAAGACTAACACAGTACCCTTACAAAAACAAGTCACCAAATTCCAGAATGAGTAGTACATACTCCATCACACAAAAAGTATTGAAGAGGTCAAGCATGATGGTCTAATGCCCATAATAATCCCAGCACTGGGGACCCTGAAGCATGAGAATCATGCATTTGAGACCAGCCTAAGCTACACAATGATATAAAACCTGCACTACATAGAGTTCGAGGATAACCTGCCTTGTACAGAAGACAGCTTGTTTTGTTGTGTATTTTATATAAATCTCATGTAGCTCAGACTGACCTCAAGCTTGCTATGAAGGAAAGGATCCACTCAGGACTCCTAGACTTCCCAAGTGAGTGCCAGGATTATAAACACACCCACCACGTCCAGATTGGTGCACATCTGTTGCTGGGCTTGTTTTTCACATTCATTTATTTACTTTGCGTGTGCTAGCAAACACACATACACGTGCACATGACCACCAAAGCACTTTTGGGAGTCTGTTCTGTCCCTCCATCGTGGGGGGCCTGGGGATCCAACTTAGGTTGTCAGGCACCCCGCCAGCCCTGACATACATTTCAGACATACTATCTATCAGATAGGAACCGAAACAACTACTCAAGTTGGGGCTGTAGCTCAGTTAGTAGAGTCCTGGGATGCATCTTCCTGTCTCAGCTTGCCCAGTGCTGGGATTATGGACGGGCCACACCACACCTGGCACATCGCTAGTATCTTGGCTGTGACTTAGAGGAAACAACTTTCTGAAACTTTTCTCTGGTTTAGAACACTCCATTTAGTAATGTAAAACTCAGTGGGGGAAAAAAAAGAAAAGATTCCCAGGGGGGAAAAAAAATCTAAAGTTTACAATTCAGTTTGATTTTACATCGAATCTCAGGAACTTGAAGACACTGCAGCTTCCTGATTTGCAGCTGGGCTCCGAGCTAACTTTTTGAGATTCATTTTCTCTGTATTTATGTGTGCCTGTGCGTGTCTGTGTGTGGGTCATGTGAGTGCAGGTGCTCCCCGTCCAGAAGAGGGTGGCGAATCCCCTTGGAGCACAGTGACAGGCAGCTGTCAGTCTCCTGACTTACAGAACCGAATTCGGATACTCTCTGCAAGGTACTCTTAACCGCTTAGCTAACCAGCGCCGGCTAACTTTTTACACATTTTTGTTTGGGCCAGTTTTCCCCGTCCGTAGAATGAATAAAACACTACCCAGTGTGATCGATGACCCAGACTAAACAAACAGGAGTGTGGACATCTGCAGGACAGCACCTAAACAGCGGTGCCCAAGGTGAAGTCGCTCGGGACCCTGGCAGACAGCCGGCCTCCTCCTGTCAAGGCACGGAGAAAGAAGCTCGCAAGCCCGAGCTCCCGAAGGTCTTCCGATCGTCCTCCCTTCTTGCTCCATCACACCAGAAGCTAAGGCCGGTCGGCCTCACCTGCCGGCTCTCCCGGGTTTCCGAGGCGGCGGGGCGGGAGGCGGTACCCAGTCAAGGACAAGAGGAGAATGACTTATCTGCCCTAAAGGATACAATCCTGCCGAGAAAGAAAACACCTGCTGGCAGAACTTCAGCCCTCCCACTTAAACACGTCCTCACCTTTCCTCCGGAGCCCACCGGGATGCTCCGCTGACTCGTCCGGAGCTCTCCGACCCCTTAGAACCCGGCCGCTAAGTCAATATGGCGGTCCCGGCTGACTCCGTCACAGGAGCTGGTGGACGGAAAGCCAGGAGGGACGAAAATCCCAGACTCGACCATTTCCCCTCTTTGGCCCTGTTCGGCAATTTCCGTCAGCCCGAACGAGAGCCGAGAGGAAGCGGAGAGATCGACTTTGGACCCGCAGTTCCGCCGGAAGTAGCCGAGGCCTCGAGGCCGAGCGCTTTCGTTCAACTCCGGCTCCTCAAGGGGCGTTTCCCTTACTTTCGGAATCCTTGGAGGGAGGCATTTTAAAATGCCTCTTTTATTCATTTCTTCCTAAACGCAAGGGGAGGCCCGCGGACAGCCTGTGGGCCGTTTAATCCGCAAGTCCCAGGTTGACGTGGAGGAGCGGGACGAGTGACGCACTTTGACCTTTCACCTCTAGCCGGTGCCGCGGAGGGGGAACGCCTCCGTCTCTATATAAGGACTTTTCCGGCCGGCCCGGGCCCTTTTCTCCCTCTGCGCCGGCCGCGGGCTCCTGGCGCTCTGTCCCTCCGCCGCTGCGGGCCTCCGGTTACAGCCGACGCCATGGGCTTCGGGGACCTCAGAACCGCCGCCGGCCTCCAGGTGCTCAACGACTACCTGGCGGACAAGAGCTACATCGAGGGGTGAGCCGGGAGGCCGGGGCCACGTGGCGCGGGCGCGGCGGGAGGGAGGGAAGCGGGGCGCCCGGGCTCCCGGGCGGGTGGGCCGATGGGAGGATGGTGCAGCGGCTCTTAGCTTGCACAGGCTCAGACAGATGTTTGGGGCACTTAAAATGAAAAGCGACTGAAGCAACTTGTTAGCCCCGTAATAGTCGCCACTAGCCGGTTGGACGGATGCAGAGTTGGTCACACATTGTGTCGTATATATTGTGTCTTCCTTTGAAAGGTGTGTGCACGTGTCTTTGTGTCACCGGCAGGTATGTGCCATCACAAGCCGATGTAGCGGTCTTTGAAGCCGTCTCTGGCCCGCCGCCCGCTGACCTGTTCCATGCCCTGCGCTGGTATAATCACATCAAGTCTTACGAGAAAGAGAAAGCCAGGTAAAAATAAAAAAAAAAAAAAAAAATGCCTATGCACCACCCGGACTCTCCCATGGGGGCAAAGTCGGATCCAGGTTCTAGTTGCTTTAGCGTTTTTGGGCCGGTGTAAGCTGAATTTCTTGGTAACTTTGGAAGGCCAAGAGACTTCATTCAGTCCTCCATTCCCTAACAGAACAGGTAGAACATGGACAAACAGCAAAGTTTACCCCACACCTCCCTGCCCGTGTGCTTGACCTGGGAGGGGGGCATCGCTGGGGTGAGAGGGTAGCTCGCTCATTCAGTCCCCGGCCTTCTAACACAACCAGCACGGATGGAGAGTTTGGGGAGTAGACTCCAGTTAACTAAGAAATCTTAATGAAAGCTCAGAGATGTTTGTTCTGAAAGAGTTAAGCCGTAGTGAGTATTGAGTACGTTTTGTCTCCTATAGTACTAGTGTTGGTTGACTGAAGAGTCGGGCACACGTAGTATTTTTACCTGGGGCTGTGCTAAAGCATCAATAACCAGAACAGATTGGTACTGGGAAAGAAAGACTTTGTGTTTTGTCTAGTAAAGGAAAGAGGTGTGGCGCCGACCTAACCGTGGTAGGATGTTTGTTTTTTCAAGTCTGCCAGGAGTGAAGAAATCTTTGGGCAAGTATGGCCCTGCCAGTGTGGAAGACACCACAGGAAGTGCAGCTGCGGATGTCAAAGATGACGACGACATTGATCTCTTTGGGTCAGATGACGAGGAGGTATGGCTGACATCTCTGAGTAGGTTGATAAGGCATAAATGTAGGTGCTGTATCAGGGCCTGGATTCGAACCCTCACCGGGTACATGATGAATAAACCAAATCACCATCTTTCGGCTGAACTCGTGATGGATTTGCTCTTTACTGATGAACCGGGTCGTTTCTGTAACGGCCCTATCATCACCGTATCAGCAGACGATAACCAACTTCGTGCATTTTTTCTCTACACAGGAAAGTGAAGAAGCAAAGCGGCTCCGAGAAGAGCGCCTTGCACAGTACGAATCAAAGAAAGCTAAAAGTAGGTGATTCTGCAGTCGTGTGTCTTCGTTGTTCCAAAGCTTGACCCTAGCATGGTTTTAGTCTTGAGTAGACATCTTTGCTCATACAAGGTCCACAGCTACTGGTCTGCAGCTGATCTTACGGTGGCAGTTGTAGCATTCCTCTGTGGGATAGAAACTGTTACACAATTTCATGCCTCTTTCTTAGCCACACAGAAAGAGGAATGTGCGTGACAGACAGGTGGGTTTTGTGGTTTTTTCATAAGAAGATGGTCTGTTTTGAAACATTGAGATTTGACCTAGAGCAAAGGTGTTCAGTTGAGTAAGGGTAATGCATTTTTAACTTTTCCAGAGCCTGCGGTTGTTGCCAAGTCTTCTATCTTACTGGATGTGAAGCCCTGGGACGATGAGACAGACATGGCCAAGTTAGAGGAGTGTGTCAGAAGCATTCAGGCAGACGGCTTGGTGTGGGGCTCTTGTAAGTTTAATGGTGGGGTTTTGAAGTTGGAATTTATATACATTTTCATTGTTTTTCCATCAATAAGAGTTTCCTAACTCTTCCCTTTATGTTCTTTTGTAGCCAAATTGGTTCCAGTGGGATACGGAATTAAAAAGCTTCAAATACAGTGTGTAGTTGAAGACGATAAGGTTGGAACAGATATGCTGGAGGAGCAGATTACTGCTTTTGAGGACTACGTACAATCCATGGATGTGGCTGCTTTTAACAAAATCTAAAATCATCGTCAAGTCAGTGCACTTGAATAAAGGCTAGAAAAACCCTGGGCTCTTGACTCTGTTATGAGAAATGGTATATGCTTTCGTTAAAGGGAAGGCTTCAGTGGCCATGTAATCAATCCATTAGTAATAAAAACTGGGGGCTGGGAAGATGGGTGGGTCACTCAGCAGCAGGTCAAGCCTGATGACCAGCCTGGCCCACGTGGTGAAAGAAGACTGGCTCCCAACGTGTGTTTTATGTGCTACATGAAAAAAAAAACATGCAGTGTTATTGTTCAGCAATTACAATTTTGTGGCCTTTGGTAATACAGCTCTGTTACTGACAGTAATACATGGTACTGATGGATATGGTGGTCTGTTTTGGCCAGATGTCAAGATTAATTTTTTGAAAATCTTGGGCCAGTAAGATGTTTACCACCTGGGTTTTCAGTCCCCTAGAGTCTAGGTGGGGGGTAGGGTGGTCGTTGGTCCTGACATTCACATACATACTTCGGCCATACAACAATTTCTTCAGTTGTATGTGTGTGTGTGCCACACGAGTGCCTGGTGCTTGTGGAATTGAGGGAAGGGTGCTGGGTCCCCTAGGCCCAGAGTTAACTACTGTGTAGGTGTCAGTGCCCGATTTCCTCAGCTCCCCCACAAGTGTTACATTGCTGCTGTATCTGAGGAGGTAAGTCCTACAATCACGGCCGTTTCCAAATGTTAGGGATTATTTAATGTGTTGAGCTATAGAGGGTGACCCTTTTGTTAGAAATGTAGTCTGACTGGGTGGTACGTGCCTTTAATTTCAGAGACGGGCAGGTCTGTGTTTGAGGCCAGCCTGGTCTACAGAGCTCCAGGACAGCTAGGGCTACACAAGAGAAACCCTGTATCAAAAAAAAAAAAAACCCAGAAGTATAATCTGGTGTTAGCATTATGTCCTGATAGGAGTCCTGTGTAGGCTAACTAGTTCCCAGGACTCCCACACTCCCATGGTCTTGTGTAGGTTTATGAGGTAGTTGAGTGTGGGTTGTTTTCCCTTGAAGCTGTAAGCAAACGCTGGCTGAGATGGGCAGTATGCTAAGAGCTCCTGCCAGTGATTGTACTGCCCCACGGGTATACCATTAAACACAGCTATTTTGGCTTCATGTTAAATACCAGATGTAGTTAAAAGTTTCAACAGTTTGGATGTTGTATCTTTAAAGCTTTCTGTATTTTGTAGATGGGGATCCAGAAAAATTAACCTAGGGTTATGTCACATAGCCTGACCCTACTCTTGCTCTTGGTTTAGTGACGCAAGCTACATATTGTAAAGATTTATTTAATAAAATACGCACTGAGGAAAATTCAGGTGCAGCCTGGAATAGTGGAAAATTTTTTCAAGTTTGTTAGGATCATAAGGGCCAGCAGAGGGCAGTGTCAGCCTTGGGAGGCGGCAGAGGTTTATTCCAGAACCACGAGAGCCGGCAGAGGGCAGCACTTGCTCTTCTGGGGATCCATAGTGCTTGAAAATGCCGACGAACACAGGCATAAAGGTATCTTATTTAGCTTATACTGATGTCCACGTAAACCAAAGAACAAAGCCTGCGCTTTGAAGTAGTTCTGCGTTCGGGCCGGCCCACCCCGGAATGTGTTTGTTTATAGTAGCTAATCTACACACTCGCACACAACCAGATAATGCAAATTTCATGATGCTCTAAAGAACTAAAACAGAAAATTGTAGGCATGTTTCTTCAAGAAGCAAGAGGTCTGTCCCCCTCCCTTTGAAACAAGGCTGTATGAGCGGCATTTGTAACCCTCAGTAAATAGGCCTGAGGATGCAGCTCCGTGGAGCGCTTGTCGCTTGCACCTTTGGAACTGAGAAGTATGACCACTCTGGACAGAGTCAAGGGACAGATGTGAGAGAAAGGACAGTTGGTGAACTGAAAAATAAACCCTGGCACAGTCATAAAATGTGCCAACTATTCCAAGCTAGACCAGTTGCATCATTATCTACCTGAGGTTCCAGAACCTCAAAATTGAACTATGCTAACAATAAATTACTTAAGTAATTAGATTTTTTGGTCAACTTAGTAAATAAACAGTTAACAGAAATGAAAATTTTAAGCCAACATAACCAACTAATACTTTAATTTGTAAATTATTAAAAAGTTGAATATACATATGTATTATACTATTAAAATATATTTGTATTCAATTTGTTTATTGGAGCTTGAGGCCAACCTAGATTACATAATGAAACTGTCCCAGAAAAAAAAATTTGTTAATTTTCTCTTTTAGTAACTGAAAAGGTGAAGATCAGGGAGCGGGGGAGACGCCCTAGTTGGTCAAGGAAGCCTTTAGATGAACACACATGAGAAAAAGCCTCAATGTAGGGCTGTGGACAGGTGGAGACAGATCTCTGGGACTTGCTGGCTAGCTATCAGCCATCGTAGGCTGCTTGGTGAGCTCCGGGCAAGTGAGGAGCAACAAGCAAGGTGTGCACGCACAAAATGACCCAAAAGGAAACCAAAAACGAGGCTGATGCCTTTTCAAGATGAAAGTTACTATAATTAATATAATGTGGTATGCGCTATAAAAATGATTTATTTAATCGGATAGATATACTGCAGCACATCAATAGACACGGGCTAAAACGGGGGGGGGGGGCCGGAGGGGGAGATTTAGATTGTCAATATCACAGTCGCCACCAGAGGGCAGCCAGACAGCGGCATCATTAAAATTGCAAGGAAGAAGAAATCTACATTTTATACCCACGCAAAAATATAAGGCCAATACACTGAACAAAAACAACAAAAATATGGTCGGTTTAGATCAGAACGAAGGTTCATCTGAAAGGAATTTTTATGAGGTTCACGTGAAGAATCCATGCTGGTTTCTGGGAACACGGTCTGTTTCTAGGGAAGACAGGCTCTTGAGCTGTTCGCTGGCTGTGGCAGGGCTGTTGATTTCCCACAACGAATGCTTCAGTACCTCGGCAACAGAGGCCCGGAAGTGAGCTTGGAACTTCTTGCTAATTAGAACGTACAGGATGGGATTCAGGCAACTATTGAGGAACGCCAAGCCAGTAGAGAGAGGGACCGCCTGCTGCAGCACGTGCTGGAAAGAGCTGTCGTGGTAGATGGTGAGTTCCCAAAGACTAAAGAGGTGATAAGGGGTCCAGCAAACCACGAAGGCAATGACTACAGACAGGACTGCCCAGAAATGCTTACGGGACATGGGGAGGCTGCGCTTCTTCACCTTGAAGATGAGACACAAATAGCAGAAGCTCATTGTCAGCAGAGGGAAAAGGTAGCCAAAAAGGAATTTCACCCAGGTCAGAACATGGTGTCTCATCAAGGTGAGGTCATGGCCATGCTCCTGGAAATTGTTATAACAAATAATGTGGCTATTGACTTCCAGAGTGTCGCGGAAGTACAGGCTAGGACCTCCAAGCAGAGAAGCCAAAAGCCAGACAGATAGAACAACGACCAGTGAGTTCTTCAGCGTTCGGTGCCGCTGAGATGAGACAGGATGGATCAAGTGGAGATAGTGGTCCAGGCTGATCACTGTCAGGAAGAAAACACTGGAAAACATGTTCAGCTGGGCAATGAAGGAATTAGCCTTGCAGAGCCACAGGCCAAAAGGCCAGTGGAAACCCAAGGCCACATAGGAGACGTACAGGGGCAGAAAGAGAAGGAAAATGAAGTCTGCAATGGCCAGATTGAGGAACCAGAGAGTAGTGACTGTCTTCTTCCACCTAAATCCCATGAGCCAAATGACAACGGCATTTCCTGGAATCCCCAGAACAAATGCTAGGACACACAACAGCAGGGAGACCCAGTGAACAATTCCCAGATGCGTCTTCTCCTCTGAAGCAGACTCCTGCGAGTAGTATTCTAAGGTATAGGAATAGTTCTCAAATTCCTCAAATAATGCTTCCTTTGAGACTTCCATGATGGCCTTGCAGATGGAGAGAGCTGTAAAAGCAAATTTTAATGGAAAAAAAAAAGCTTAAAGAAGAATTAGGTTTGATGAATAAAGAATCTAAACACAAAAGTCCTTCATTTTATGACTGTACCAGGGCTTATTTTTCAGGCTTGTGTTTATACCAAAGATGGCCATGTCCCCGTTTCACTGCTTCTGCTTTCAAAGCTTTTGAGAGTTCATTTGTGATTCAGTAATTGTTAAGTTAAAATGATCCACTCCATAGGTCAAGTCCCCTGTCCCCAATACTTACAGTGCATTACAGTGCATTAGGAGAATCTTGACATTCAGCAAGCATTTGTTAGGCTCCCCGTACACGTTATTTTCCATCAGATGCAGAGGAAAGCAGATTGGTACTTAGGCAGTGGAAAGTTCCGGGTTTGTGATTGCAGCCCTGACTGCCAGCCCCAGAACAACAGCTTTCTGGATGATTCTACTTCCATGACGCTAGTAAGAAGTGAAGATTTTGACCAAATATTTTATGCCCAGAATTTTGTTTTTAGCTGGTGTTAGTATTTAATTAGAAGTCTTGAGCATGCCAAGCAGACACTTTACAGCAAGGTTCGGCCCCAGCCCTGAAGATGACGAGAATGCTCCTAATCAGTTATCAACAGAGCTGTGTTTTCAGCTGGAAGATATCTGTACTTCTGCTGTATTTGGCTTTGGGTATTTTTTGTTTTGTTTTGTTTTGTTTTTTCCCTTGTTTTGGTTTGTGAGACAGGCTAGTACTCTGTAGGCCTTATCTGTAGGCTTGCATCTCACTGTATAGTCTAGCCTGGCTTAGTCCTCACAACAACGCTTTTGTCTCAGCCTTCCAAATGCTAGGAGATTGGTATAAGCCACCAACCCGAATAAAAGGTATCTTTAAGAGTAAACTTCATTATGACCATATAATTTTCACATCAATTTCTTGTATAATGCATTTAAATTTTTATTCCATTGAAATTCCTTTGCTTTGAATTAATGTGGATTATTTTCTATAATTATGACAAAAAATTAGGCAGACAGTGGTGGCGCACGCCTTCAATCCCAGCACTTGGTAAGCAGAGGCAGGCAGAACTCTGTGAGTTCAAGGTCAGCCTTGACCTGGAACAGAGTGAGTT